AGCAATGACCCTATCAATAGAAACCCCCTTTGTTTATTTAGGCCATAACAGAAAAGGCAAGACTCATTTGCGAACTTCATCTGTATTTCTTGCTTAATTCTCACTTCCACCTATGCAGGGCTGTCATCTCTCTTTTACAAAAGAGGGAAGTGGGGCAGGAGGTGAAACATTTGTCTAAGGCCCTGCTGTGGTGGTGCTGGACATTGTGCCCACTGCTGTAAGTGGCAGTTGGGTGTCACACCTAGGCCTCCTGAGTCTGGAGCCCATAAAGCTCTTGTGCTGTGCTATTGTAGGCCCTTACTGGTGAAGAGAGGCAGGCCTATGCCAGACTCGGTCTCCATGTTGTGCATATGAGCACATCAAGGGAGAAAGAAGCATTTTTTTTTTTCTTAGAGAAATTTTTGCTAGAGGGCACAGCAAGAAACCACCGCCACCTCAACCCCCACAGAGAGTATGGCCACACTGCAATCCCTTCTCCTCTCTGGATCTTGGGCACACATGCATGCGCCCAGTGTGAGTTTTATGCCGTGGATTCTGGGACTCAAATCACGGTCATGTTCGTGGGAGTCCAGCGACGTAACCATTCCCTATCTGCTGGTCCGGAAGCACAGTCAAAATAGCTGCTGGCATAGAACTTCCATAGCAGACACGCAATAATTGTTGATTGAATCAGTGAGCCAAGCTTTGCACTGAATTCCTCCATAGTCGTTGTTTTATTGACTCTTCATGCTATGAGGTATTTTTAGCCCCTTAGTACAGATGAGAAGGCTGAGGTTTCCAGAAGTTAAGTCACTTGATGAAAGTATCACAGCTATTTTGACAGAGCTGGCATTTCTGTCCAGGTCTATTGGTTTCAAAATTCAGAGTTCTTTTTCATTTGCTCAAAGTGTTTTGGGAAAAATTCAATGAGCCAATTTGTGTGAAACTTTTAGCCCATGGGTTCCAAAGTGTGGTCCTCACACCACCAGCAGCAGCAGCAGCATCCCCTGTGAACCTGTTAGAAATGTCACTTCTCAGGCCAGCCCAGGCCCAGTGAATGAGAAGGCCTGAGGCCCATGGATCCACAAGTTCATGAGGTCTCCAAAAGGCTCTGATATGTGTTTGAGAACACAGTTGTAGCCCAAAGGCTGGGCTGTTGAAAGTGCTTAGTAAGATACGAGCTGCTTATCAAAACCTGAATAACAGACATACTCTGTAAAATAAAATAAGTATCCAAGAGTAGGCATTGCAATGCAGAGTATGCATGCCATAGTAAACTATAGGTATATTCAGGAAGGTGAGAAAAAAATGAGATTTTTTGTTTTTGTTTTGTTTTGTTTTGTTTTGTTTTGTTTTGTTTTAATGAGTGTCCAGTGTGTTGGTGCAGCAGTGATGCAATACTCAGCAATGCTGGAAGCCATATGGAAGGTCCAGGTTTGGCTCCCAGTTGGCTTGTATACCCTAGGCATGTCTATGCTCATGGTCTTGGCTGGCCGACAAAGCTACAGGGAGGACCATGGTGTGAAATCCTATTGAAGATGCTTGTTTCTCTCTTCTCTCACAAGAAAGAGAGAGGAAAGATGGTAGAAGGAAGGAATAGTTAAGGGGAGGAAGTGAGTGGTGAGGGAAGGAAGGAGGGAAGAGAAAGACGGAATGAAAGGAAGAAGAAGGGGAGGAAGGAAGGAAGGAAGGAAAGAAAAAAGGGAGAGAGGAAGAAAGGGAGAGAGAAAGGGAAGGAACTTCTTGAAAAGGCCAGCTCAGTGAAACAGTGGTAGCATAATGCTCAAGTGATGCTGAAACTGTATTGAAGATCGGGGGTTTGGTTCCCAGTCTGTGCAGGATGGGTGCACACACTCATGATCCTGGCAGGCTAGGAGGTCTGGGGGAGGGAGGTCATAGTGTGATTCTTTTGAGGGTGTTGGTCTCTCTCTTTCTCCTTGTCTCTCATTCTCATGAAAGAACAACTTTAAAAAAATAGTAAAAATGAGTAAGAATTACGTAAGTTGCTTTGGGACAGTTATCCTTGGCTACAAAGATCAATAACAAGTGGCATCAGTTCAAGATTGGACAGGAAGTTGCCAGGCATGCAGAAGTAATTTTTTTTTCTTTTTTAAAAATTTTTATTATCATCATAATCTTCTTTATGTTACATTGGATTACATATAACTTTACACTGTATTGCATTGCTTTTTCCAGAGGGAATACCATGCATGTCAGTCAATACAGAGACATTAATCTCCCCACTTCATCATTCTATATCTTTTCTATGTTTTTCCCAATCATTATTGTTATTATTCTAATTATTTTTTTAAACAGTCAGTCACTATTTCTCATTTTGCTCGTAAAAAGACTTTACCCATCATGAGAAGAGGATAGAGAAAGATAGCAAGAGAACAAAGGGGGGGTGGTTTCTCACTTTCTGTCTCTCTCTCTCTATCTTCCTGGCGAGCGCACGTGCCCTATAGTAAAATCCTCTCCAAAATAATAATAATAATAAATTAATTACTTTAAAAGAATGTTGGAGGGAAGGAACAATCCATCCTACCCCTGCTTCTCAATGGCTTCTCTCCCTGGTTGGAGTTTATCAGCCCTCCTTCTGAAATCCTCAACTCTTATAGCTTGATTCAGTCAAGCCTTCATCATACTTTTCTCCGTTTTTGTTTATTAAATACACTAGCTTCGGGACCAGCAGTTGACATAATAGCTATGTTGCTGGACTCTCCTGTAGTGTAGTGGACCTCGGTTCGAGTCCCGACCCCAGTGGCTTAAACTCACGCCGAGCACGTGTACATGCGTGCCCAAGATGCCAAGAGGAGAATGGAGGAGAAGCGATTGCAGTGTGACCATGGGGGGGTGGGGGGGAATGATTTCTCATTTTCTGTCTCTGTGCCTCTCTGTCTCTTTCAGGTGAGCACACGCGCCCTATAGCAAAAAACCACCCCCCAAAAAAAGCTCTAGCTTCTTTGCTCCTTGCACAAAAGTGAAATTTCAAAATATTGTGCATGTGTGGTGCTGCTCTGCTTGTAAGGGTGCACTCACGGTGATTTCATGGTCATTCTTAGTTCCTGCGGCCACTCCTTTACCCAGACAGCCTGCGATGAGCGCCCTCCCCGGACACAGGACACACGCTTGGCTGGAAGGGGGCAGGGCTGAACTCTGGCGCTCCAGCGGCAACAAGGGCGTTCCCTTTCCTCGTGACTGCGTCGTAGCCCGCCATTCCTCCCCGGGCGGGCGCCGGCTCAGGCTCTGCTCGGCAGCTGGCGGCGCTCTAAGCTGTGAGCCGCGTCCGCCTGCGCTTTCTCTGCTCTCAGTGTCTTTCTTCCATCTCAGAGTCAGCCATTTCCTAGCTCATCGTTCGTACTCTGACAAAAACACCGTTCAATGTCTTTTGTCTGGATATATTAATCATTTTGGCACTATTTTTTGTTCCTTAAGGACTATAAAAGGTAAAGATGAAAAAATATTAACAAGGCTAAAATTAAGTTAGGGTTCTCTAAACCTCCCCTCCCCCAAACGTGCAGCCGGCAGTGCTAGTACTTTGTGTTCTGGCATCCTGGCCGTGGGTGTCGGACATTTAACCCAGACGGGCCCCACGCTTTTCCTTTGTGTTTTCACTCCCACCCTCACCATCTGCATTTGATTAAGGACAGGTCACTTAATACAATTTATTTGTGAGTCCATTTCTAGATTTTTTTTAGAATTATTTGATTTTATTTATTTGTTCATTTATTTTAATGTGACCAGAGAGAGACACACACAGAGAGAAGGAAAGTGAGAAAGCAAGCTGCCAGGTCTGGGACTCAAACTGCAGTCAGCCATATGGGAGTTCAGCTGCCCAACTGCCACACCACCTCCCAGCCCCGAGAAGTAATTTTTAAATTTTTTTTTAAAAAATTATTTTATAAGAAAGAGAAAGAGATGGGTACCTGCAACAGGATCCCACCACTCTGTGATTCTGTCTCCATCCTTCCAGCCAGCCAGGATCACAAGCACACACAGACAGGCCAGGCATGTTCAAGTTGACCCAGGGCTAAAACCTGGGCCCCTGTTATGGCCTCAGTATCATGCAGCAGTGCTCTATTCCCTATGCCACATGGCCGGACCAACATATTAGGTTGCAGTGACCATTGTGCAAGACTGTCCTTGTGACAGTTCTAGCTATCAGGCATATGTGCATGAGATCCTCTCCCTTTATGGCTTTCCCTGGTTCCCTTTAGTCAGGGTTTGACACAGGTAGACATAAGTGACTCCATTTTTATTCTGACAACCTTAACATGCTGATGTTTTTTATATCTTTTTCAGCTCTTAAGAAAAGGCGGAGGAGGGGGAGGAATATAGATCTTCTAGAACTCACATGCCTTTCATATTTTTTTTAATGTCAGATGCTCCTGGCCAATCAGTGGAATCACACTAGTGACTCAGCCATTCTGAGTCCTAGGGGAAGTCTTTAGAGGAAAGAGAAATAAACAAGGCATGTTAAGCCCTCCACCCTGTCCCTCTGCAGAGTTGCCCAGTAGCTGCCCATCTGCAGTAACATTGGTATCCTCCACTGTGCCCCTGCAGTCTCAGCTGCACCTCTGGTGGGAAAGTCTTCCCACAGTGGGGAAGAAACAACTGCATTGAGGGAAGGCAAGGGTGCTTCTTTTCTTCCAGCTTCTGCAAAAATTGTGCCCCTCACTCTTAGAAAACCTCACAGACTCCTGGTGCCGCCTTAGGTTTGGTACACATTCAGTTGGGAATTTAGCATTCTTGAGTGGCCATGATACTCCAGGCTCGAGGCTGGATGGCCCGATGTGCAAAGTACCATGCATCACCTACTTGCAATGCTCACCCCATCTAATGCTTTAAGGAAATGCAGGCTCAGAGAGGTCAACCAGCCGGGGGCCAACAGAACTGGGTTCAAATTCAGTGGGTCTGCCTGACACCTTGCTTACTCAGCTAAAACTCTTGGTCATTTACTTGACTTGAGAGACGTAACACGTGGACTTACACAAATCTCACCCTCTCTTCCATCCCTACAGGTGCTACCAGACCACGGTCTTCATGCAGCAGGGTTCTTCACAGCCTTCCTCCTCTCCCTCATGCTGACCTGGCTCGTGCTTTTCTTCATGGTTCGATGTCAGTGCCTGCAGGGATACATGCTTACCCGATGTGGGGTGAGTCTTATTCCTCATGGGCAGCTTGGTTAGTGGTAAATGTTAGATGGAAATTTATCCTCCAGATTGGTAAGTCTCAGCCCTGGATTGATGTCAAAATCACTTGGGGAGCTATGGGCAAATGCTTATGCCCAGGTCCCACATCCAGAGGCCCATTTGTTTGCCCTGAGTTGGGTCCCCATCATTGGTCATTTCTGAGAGTTTCTTGAACAAGTCTAGCTAATATAAGATTTGAAAGCCCCTGTAGCCTAGTACCCAGCTGTCAGGTAATCCTGCATTCTTGCCAAATCCTGACTCAGGTCCTTTGCTGCACTTTCTGCTGAAGAACTCTCAGAGACTTGCTGCCATATTGAGGTGAAACCCAGGTTCCTTAGCCTGACGTTCTGGCTTCAGCCTACCTCTCCTACCACCTTCTGATCCACATCTCCCTCCTGCCATTGCAGGTAACGTGGCTGGCCTTAGAGTGCCAAGCTCTTTGTGCTCACACTTGTGTATTTTTCCAAGAATCTCGTTTGTCTTTAATTAGCACAAGTTTTTTGTAAAGAATTGTTTAATTTTATTTATTATTATTATTATTTTAATTTGACCAGAGAGAGTGAGAAAGTGAAAGAGCAAGCCACCACATCCAGGACTCAAACTGTGGTCAGCCATGTGGGAGTCCAGCACCTTAACCATCATGCCACCTACTGGCCTCTACTATCACAAGTCTTACCCATCCTTTAAGTCTCACCTTGGCCATCACCTCTCCCTGGGCATTGTCACTGGCCACTTCTTGCAGGCCAGGGCCCTCTCACTGGGTTCCCCACTATGCTTCCCCAGCACTTGTCATCATCCATTAGATCAGATGTGAATTTGTCATCGTCCATCAGATCTGATATGAATTCCTCCATCTCTGTATTCCTGAGTTACCACAGAATCACATATTGAGACCAGTACTCAGGTTCCAGTGGTTTACTAGGGAAATGATCCCAGGAAGTAATGGTAGGGGCAGGGAAGTGAGGCAGGAAGGAAAGGACGGCAGCTGTAAAAGGGTGAGTCATCCTCAAGTGCCGCCCTGAGTACCTGGGGCTTAATCCTGCCCAGGAGCTCTGGAGACAGTGCAGAACCAGCTTCAGGATCATTCCACCTGAGGGGAAAGGGGGCTGTGCTATTCATCCACTAAATTCCATTAGTCCCTGGCTGGGGACAGGGGCCAGGCAGAGAGGAAAGGCGGTATTATGTCCCTGGCATGGAACCCTAAGACCCGCAGTCCTGGTGGGCACTGCAATGGAATGGCAAGGGGATATGGCCAAGCACCAGTGTTGTCTGCTGCAGTCTTCATTGCCTGGTGTGGCACCTGTTCCCAGAAGGCACTCCACACATGCGTGAAGGGATGAATGAGCTCTCAGTCAGCCAAGGAGTGGATGGACAGGAAGGAAAGCAAGGTCATGCTTCAGGGAGTGAGATGAGCTTTTAAAAACTTATGCAGGTGTTGCTGGCAGTGAGCATCCTTGGTAGGTTGGTTTATCCCTGTAGGCACATTGACAGCTGGAGCTCCTATGACTTGGTGTCTCTGGAGGTCCCACACCATGAGAGGAACACCTGCCATCTTTCTCACTCACTTTATGTTGAGGAAACTCCGACCTATGAGATTAAACAACCTGTTGAAAGTGGCCCGACACAGTCTGAGACCTGGCACCTGGGGAGTCCCTCTCTCTGGAGACTGGAAATCTCACCCTAGCCCCACTATTCCTTTTGTACCTGCCTCCTGGAAGTGAGGTTTGTCCTTTCAAGGCGACGTTAGCTCGCAAGCTGCTTGGCAAGCAAGAACAGTCCCCCGATCAGACCTCGTTCTGAATCTGTTATCAATCAGAATAACAAAATGCACCCTGCTACTTTGATGGAGGAGTCGTGTTCATTTCCCAGAGATGAAGGCAGATTGTTACCATTGCAGAGAGGAAGTGTGAATTTGATTTAAGGTCTGGAGACCCTTGCTGTATTTTTCACTCTGGCACCACAGAATACTCTTTTCACAATTTTGTTTGTTTGTTTGTTTGTTTGTTTGTTTGTTTTTGCCAGTGTGGTAGCAACTAAGGCGACAACTTGCTATTAAGCGGAAGAGAGCCTTCAGAGTTATGTCAGAATCAAAGATCAGCCTGACTCCTTTTGAGCTGTGTGACCTTCAATATTATTTCATCTCTCTGAACCTATTTCGTTACCTGTAAAGTGAGGGCACCAACACTGTGGTGACAGTTTCATGCTATAACCCAGAAAAGGCACCCTGGCACAGGAACAGGAATCCTTAGCTGTCAGCGATAGCCATCACCCAGTTTTGAAACTGGGGACAAAACAGACATGTCATTGATCTAATCAGAAGGTTGGGCTTAAGTATCTCTGATGTCACTCGCATCCTACAATCCTACGCCCTGTTAGAAACTGGCCAGACCTATGGTGTTGAGATCCCCCATGCCCGTTGTGAATTTTTCCCTACTTGATGATGATGATGATATGACGAAATGTTTACTCTAGAGCTTTACCAGCTGAAAGGGCTTTATACCCACCATTTGGGTTTATCCCCACAACACCCCTGTGCAGGGCTACTAGAATATGACCATCTGATGAGAAAATGGAGGCTCTGTTTGTCTGTGTTTACCCTTCTCACCAGTGGTGGTGTCAGTCAGGTTCTCTGACTGCGGGTGCCCCACCTACGCTCTTGGCTTTCCTAGCACAGGGCATTCACAGAAGGCCCACTCAGTTATTTCTGCCATTATCCTAAAGGTTCGACCTCATGAGAGCAAGCTGGAACCTTCGCCGTTCACCTCAGCAGATGGTGTGAATGAGGACCTTTCCCTTAATGACCAGATGATAGAAATCTTGTCTTCTGAGGACCCTGGGAGCATGCTGCAAGCCTTAGAAGAGTAAGAGTTCTGAATTCTGTTATACTTCCACAGTGCAATGGATGTTTTACCATGGCGTGAGAGGAGACACTGTATCACATTCATTCATTTAATTATTTATCATTCAGTAATAGAGAGCAAACAATGGCCACACACTGAACACTATGCTTGACATTTAGGAAAAGAAATGTATAAATTGAACCTCCTCTTCTAAGGCAATATAATCTAGTGGAGAGGACAGACATGCAAATCGAAGTGGCCATAAAGTTTGGTAAGTATGGTGCTTATGAGAAGACCAGGGCTGGCTGTGCACAGGAGAATTACTTCTGAGAGGTCATAGAAATGCTTTTCACAGGAGATGACATTTAACTCATTCTTGAATTTTGTGCTTTCCAAGTAGATCAGGTAAAGAAGGCTTTTTTTTTTTTTAGAAATATGTATTAAATTTTATTTATTATTATTTTTTAAACTGGCCAGAGAGAAACATGGAGAGAGAGAGAGGGAAAGTGAGAAAGCAAGCCTCCAGGTTCAGGACTTAAACCGTGGCTGGCCACTTGGGAGTCCAGCACCTCAACCACCACATCACCTGCTGGCTCCAAGGAAGACATTTTAGATGTGGGATGGGGGGAATGACAAAGCAGATGCAAAGACCAGTAACGCACATGGAGAACCATTCGGAGATTCCTCAAAAATCCACAAATAGAACTGCCATATAATCCATAAATTAGTGGTTGGACTAATTTAAATTCCCACCAGCAGTGTAAGAGAGTTCCCCTTTCACCACACCCCCGCCAACACTTATCTTTTTTT